TCTCTACTATAATGGATCAATTAAAATTATACTAGGTTCTCCAGAAAAACGTTCCCCGCTGAGAGCCTCCAACCATTGTACATCCAGAAAAATACACACAGAAATTCGTCTCAATTAAAATTAAGGGCTAATAAAACACCTAAACCTAATTCGATGGGCACGATTCATGTGTGATGGCAGGCTTCTCACCCCCGCGCCCCGCGTGGAGCCACGGCACTTCCAGGCGGAGGGATGGGCGTGGCTTCCTAAGGGAGCTGGCGTGGGCGACGACGCGCCGCCGCCGGTGACCCATGTCCAGGCGCGCGCACTGCTCCGCTGCCCCGCCAGTCGCCACCAGCACCATGACCAGCGCGGCGGCCCACGCGATGGGTCCCCGTGCCGGTGCCGTCGCCGCATCCCAGCCCTCCGCCGCCGCAGCGGCCGCGGTGGCCGTGGGAGGAGTTCCGCCGCCATGAGATCTTTCCTAAAGATGACGGTTGGAGCGACCTACATCAAGGGCATTGCTGAGCAGGATGCATATCCCGTCGCGACATTCTTCCTCGCTGGGATCGCGATGGATCAACGGCGTCTGAGGCCCCCATAAGGCAGTCAACAGGGCAAGAAAGTGTGCTGCTCCTCCAGGCGTCCACGGCCTCAGACTGCGAAGATCTGCAGGGCCCCAATCAGCCTCACGGGTGGGCATGCCGGCAGCTGCGGGGTTTAAGATCATCGGCGGCATGACCTTGACTTGACTGCTTCCCTACACACGGAAAAGGAACGACATGCCACACTGCAAGGTCCGTCCATACTACACACCTCTCGTCTGTTAGCACATATGGACATGAAGTGCTCGATGCTTTGCCTATGTGAAATCATTGTTCATTGTGTTGTGCATTGCAGTGTTTCATGTTAGCCAGAAATTGATGGTTCAATGATATTCTGGTGATGCAGATACAAAGATGGAATAGAGATGTTGCTCGAAAGGTCAAATAAAAAGCTGACGGGATTAGGGACTGCACAATGGATTTGGACTGTAAGCTATAACCTGTGCTCCCATCGAATGCTATGTGGTGGGGAGTTATGGTCCCAGCTAGCGCATAATTTTGAGGTTAGCTTATCCAATTGGTTCATTATTATATTGTTCCTCACAGCCTTGTGAAATATGTAATGTTTAAGAGAAAAGGATCAGTAGTACATTTGTATATTAATAATCATTATTACTATTTTCCATCTGTCTAGAACCTTTTTAAATTGTCCCAAACTGCACTTATAATTGCATTTTTGTTTTCTTTGTATACTTATTTAGAAAACAAGAATGCATCTCAATGCATGTGCTGCCTTGTGCTGGATAGATTTATAGGAAAACACTTCTCTGTTGGACGTTTTAAAATCTTGGTTGAATTTGTTTAAAGTATGTGGGCAGGTTGCGTTTTTGTGCCTTCAACCTATGTGGTTCCTATTATCTAACAACTTACAAATACGATGCCTGGAGTAATCTACAAATATAAATGCAGCATAATGCCTTTGGTGAGCATGCACAAGTAGAACACAACTCTTGTGGAATGACTTAGGTTGGCATCGGTTTTTCTATATGTTCAAATCCTTGTGGAATGAATTCAGTGGGAAAATATTTTTACTGTGGATTGTGGTTTGGAATTCCTGGACTGAGTAGCCACTGTTTTTTATTCATTTTTGCTACCTTGATCAACGTATTTGTGTTTTCCTGCTAGCAAAATTTAGTCACAAATCTGTTTGGTAAAATTGGTTGAAATCAGTTAAGAAACAAATTTACATACTGTTTAATTTTCAAAGGTACAGTTTGCAACTTTTTTAAAACAATTAGTACAAATCAAATTGGATTGAGCTAGAAGTTGATTAGTTTCTCACTTCATTTTAGGTCTCACTTTCTTTAGTTTTTTATTGCGTTGCTCATCTTTTCTTCAATGCTAGATGATGACTGAGGATAGTCAGGATATTTTTCTCTGCAATTGCATTTTTCACATTTCCAAACGTAACACATACAAATTAAGTTATACTCCCAAGTTTAAGACATTTGATTTAGGACAAGCTCAAAAGGTCTGTTATTCGAAGATTGGAAGGAGTATGCCTTTTAGTTATTTGATTTGTCTGGTTATGTGCTGTCGTAGCGTTAGCACGAGCATTATATTAGTGAAGAGTAAAGTAGTCCGTGTTAGTATTTTTCCCGCTTGGTGATCCATGATTGTTTGCGTTTGCTTGGTGGTGTGTTATTTGTTGCGTTGGTAGGTTGGTTGGTTGTTCCAATAAGAGAATCGAAGCGAAGGTACATCACATCATCACATCATCTATGACTTTGTTGCGGAGTCGGTGGCCTGTGAGAGGCGTTGTAAACTTAACGCCATGGATTAATTAGCTAGTCGGTGCCGCAAAGCAACTAACTGATCGAGAGTTACAACTTTTTTATATGTTTATTTATACATATATAACGATGAAAGACGAAGGAGGCCGGAGGTGATAAGACAATAGGAGTCGTAGTACAGTAGACAAAGATCGTCTTTCTCTGTTTGATAGCGGTCTTACTGTAAAAAAAAATAAAGAATGCAAGGACATGGTAATAGGTAGGAAAACTGAATGAGAGTTGTCAACCGTAAAGCGATAAAGCAACGAACACGTAAGACAAGATTTTTAATTGGCAGGATGGGTCGTTGAATAGGTTTTTCTTTGACAACACACTAGATTTAGATATATTTGAAAAAAGGGAAATATGAATGGGTCATGGAGTAGATTTCTTTGACAGCATTAAATTTATATTTGGAAAAAAATTGGAAGAGACGACAACGATCGTGGTATCCCATCTACAACGGCGGATCCAGGAAAAATTTTAGAGGGGCTGAACAAAAGTGCGACAGTAACATACCTCCGACTGTTGCTCGATCTTAAGTCTCAGCCCCACTTACACGATAGAACTTTACATAAAAATTATGGGGGCTCCACTGCTCCGGTATTGATAGGGGGGCTCGACCCCCCCCCCCCAACCACCGTTGAATCCGCCACTGCCCATCTATAGCAGCATAGGCAATAAGAATAAGGGTTTTGTTTGGCATCCTGACACCTCCTCGAATGGAGCACTTGAGGAGAAGCCTTAAATTATAAAGTGTTGGGTATAGCTTCTCTACCAACTGTCAGAGCTGGAGCAGAACCATGCCAAACAGGTCCTAAGACTAGGTGCCTATTTGATAGAGCTACACATGCTTCAGATTATATGTGAAAGTTGATTCTCTGATAAAAGTGCTTGTCTAACCGGATGTTTTGTTACGATAGACAACGACATTACGTGAGGGTGAATCAGAAGCTCATTTTAGAGAATCACCTCATAAAATCAACATAGAACCACCTCTCAATTAAAAATACCAGGGCCTGTTCGGCTGATATTAAAGCCGGCTGATAAACCGACTAAACCTGTTTTGTTGTGATAAAAAAATACTATAGATTCTAACTGATAAGCCGACTGATAAATTCAAACGAGCGTGCCCGAGTTTGACAAAGGAAATGCATCGGCACCAACCCTCTCGTGGAATTAAGGCCGCAGGCCCAATAAACAATGAACTTATTCACGTGAAATTCCAAGTATGATTCTTGTGAAGTTTTTATATTTCCGAGAAGAGCACTGATATTTTGATTTGATTTTTATTGAATAATAGAGGGGTCAGACTATTGGGTTTGGCGCTGATGTGGTAGAAACAAACAACCAACCAATCAATCAAATCCCAGCAATAGAAGAAGTGTAGTTTTTCTTTCTGGCCGGACGGAATCATGATCGTGCAGTGTTTTTGAACTGTAATCGAGGGGACGTACGTATACATACGGGGCATACTCCTACGGCTCAGGCAGTCGGTTGCAGTAGATCGAGGGAGCCGAGTCAGCCCTGCCTATCGTGGTCTCTAGACACAGACGCCATCTCGATCCCCTGTTGACCTGACCGTGTCGTCGTGTCGGCGCCCGCCGCTTACCAATTTTATTTTATTTTTTTATTTATATTTTGTCTGTCTGCAATTACTACTACGCACAGTACTAGTTATCGTATATATACATAAATCAAAAATTAAAATGAGATATACTCCGTACAGGAGTATTTAATACAGTAATTATTATAATTCTAAGTTGCGCGTACAGTGTTATTAATTAATTCCAAATCCAAAAAGAAAAAGAGAAGAAGATAGTTGTGCGCGGGCCCCACGGCATCCGAGGCAGGTGGGCCCAGCGGCGACCAAGGGAGAGCGTAACACCTGCCGTCGTCTTCCTTGCTCGCCTTCCTCCGTCTTTCTTCTCGTTTCTAGACTAGACTTGGCTTGGCTTTGCTGCCTAACCTTGGAGGCTTGGACTCCCCCTCTCCTCTCCTCTCCTCTCCTGGTGTGCCTGGTGTGCGTGCTTCTGCTACCTAGCTGGTCCAATCGCTGCGGCCAGAGCCCCCGCGCAAGCTACCGGGGAGGATTCCAGCTCCGTCGAGCAACGGGACTCTAGCGACCGACACCGAGCACTAGTAGACACTGCCGCCTCCCTCCACCACCGGCTTGGCATCTCGGGGTACGGGACGGAGGAGCAGAGAGATCCATCCGCCGAATTGCTTGCAGGCACCCCGTACCGTACCATTGGGATTCCGATTCCAGGATCGATCGCTCGGGGGTGTGCGCGCCGCCGCCCTCCTCGCTCCTCATCCAATCCACACGATTCCGATTGGATTGGATTTCAGCTACCCTTCGCCCCACGTGCGCAAGCGCTAGCTCCTGCCGCCAACCGCAACCGGCCCACCGCCGCCCTCCCTGCGCCAGGTGGTGCCCAGGTCTAGGAGGTCCTTCGCCGGCGACGAACACCCACCAGGTCCCCTTCTCTTCCCTTCCTTTATGCATTCGGATTCGGATCTGATCTACTCCAATTCCTGCTACTAACTTGGGTTTTTCCCCTTTTTCATTGACCCATAACCAATTCCAGCAGACCAACCGCAAGGGCATGTGACAAGCTGCCGCCTGCCTTCGCCACAGGCAATGTGCTCCGACATGGATCAGCGCCACCACCACGCAACCAGGTATTTCAGTTCTCTTCTCTTGCGTCGAGCTTAATCAATCCTCAGCCTCCTCCTCCGGCTTGGCTCAGGTTGCAACCAAACCAATTCATCAGATTAACAAATCCACTTTATTATTACTTTGCTTGCTTCCATGTTTAACTTTCCTCCCCTCCTCAATCAGGTCCAGGTGTATCATTCATGTTACTGGACCGTTTGCAGAATACTCTCCCCTACCTTAGCCTTTTTGCAGAATACTCTCCCCTACCTTAGCCTTTTTATTTTTACCACCACCACCAACAGGCTATGTTATTATACAGCATCTATTTCTTAAGCATATGTCCCTTTTTTTTCCTGAAAACTAGTGTTGCAGAGCTTGAATCTAACTCAAATATTCGCTGGCACTCTATGTGTTGGTAACACTGAATAGGGATATTTTTGTTTCTTTGCCTGCCAACAACTAGCTAAACCTGTACAGCTTTAATTTTTGATTAACAATCCAGTGTAAAAGCACATAGATATATATGGAGGCCCCCCATCCTCACCCTTTTCCCTTTTGCCCAACACAACAGGGAGGATGCACCAGAGGCTAATGGTTACCATCGCAGTCCCCATGGTGCGGATCATCACGAGCAGAGTCAGGCTGTGGATGCCGATAAGCATATAAATCATCAGTCCACAGATGACAACAATGTTCCCTCCAGCGCTTCAGGCCACAGACAAGGTGGTATCAGCCGTCATGCATCCACATCTTCTGTTGATGACCGCTCCATCAAGTCCGGTGACAATTCTGATGGGGCCGAGAGTACCAATGGCAGAAGCAGTAATACAGAGATCTCATTTCTAGAAAATGAGACAATCTGGATACCACCTCAAGCGGCAGATAAGGAGGATGAGGCCCAGAGTTTTGCTACAAGCATCGCTTATGACGACGACGATGATGATTATATTGACGGGATAAAGTGGGGCCAGTCAAGTTTCCCATCCCCTGGTAAGCAGCATGACTCCGGCACTAGCAATCATAGGGAGGAACGAGAGAAGGCGATGTTAGAAGCTATGAATGGCCAGCTGAAGATACTTGTCAGTCGGTTTCTCGCATCTGCTGGCATTCCGTCTTCCAACGAAGAGGGTAGCGATAGCTGGCTTGACATCGTCACCTCCCTGTCATGGGAAGCAGCGCTACTTATCAAACCTGATGGTAGCATGGGAAAGGAAATGGACCCTGGCTCTTACATCAAAGTAAAATGCGTAGCATCTGGTACTCGCCGGCAAAGGTGAAGCGATAATTTGTCTTCACATCAATACATAGGAATAGGATTTCTGTTTCTGTTTCAAACTATATCCGTTAACCTGTGGCAATGTTGGTTTGGTTGCAGTGAGGTGATCAAGGGGTTAGTCTTCAAGAAGAACGCTGCTCATAAGCACATGCCGACAAATTGCCACAATCCTAGGCTTCTACTTCTCAAAGGAGTCCTTGGGCATTCTGATGTCGGTTTGTCATCATTTAATTCAATGGATCAGGTTAGATGCTACATATTTATATATGTATGCAAATATTAAACCTCGGCTTCTGTTTTTTTTTTCACGGAGGAATAATACCTTCTATTTTCTATGCCTCTAACAATCAGGAAAAGGATCTGTTGGAGAGAGCTATTGGTAAAATGATGGAGATATGGAGTCCCAATGTTGTTCTGGTCGAGAAAACTGTTTCACGAAACATTCAAGAACTTCTTCTGAAAGAAGGTGTCACGCTAATTCTTGATATGAAACTCAACCGGCTACAAAGAATTGCACGCTGTACAGGCTCTCCCATAATATCGTTTTCAGAAGTTTTGGATAAACCAAAGCTGAAGCAATGTGACTACTTTCATATCGAAAAAATTATCGAGGAGCACAACAACGCCAGTGAGGGTGGAAAGATGACATCTAAAACATTAATGTTCTTGGAAGGCTTTCCACGTCCACTCGGTTGCACGGTATGTATAGTTCATGCTCATTGTATACTGGAAATAGTCTATTCCATGCACATTAATACCATTTATTGAATTAGTAGCAAGTCCCAAACTGATTGGTATTCCATACCTTTTGGATTAATATTTACAGTTAGAGTGGTTTTCTTTCTTTTTCAGATACTGCTAAAAGGAGCAAACAGTGAAGAATTGAAGAAAGTCAAACAAGTAATGCATTTTACGGTCTTTGCAGCATATCACTTGATCCTTGAAACATCTTTCTTTGAAGATCAAAGGGTTTTTCTAAATGATAAAAGTACCCCAAAAGAAACTTCTGTTACTGCTACAGAAGGGACATCACCAACTGCTTATGATGTTGCTGCTCTTAGTGGTGCTATCCCTAGCTTTCCTTCACATGATGACTCTCCAGCACTTAGACTGTTCCATGCCACTTCTAACAGCTATGCTGATGTGAACAAACCTTTGACATCTCCAAGAAATGTGGATGCATTCAGTTCAGTATCCAGCAGCTCTGCAAATAACCTTGAACAAGGTGCAAGGCTCAATACTACTGAGAGGTTAACATTACCAGTCCAAGGGCCACTAAGGAAATTGTTCGCTGACATGTTACACCAGAATATTTACTTACCTGTTACTTCATTGCAAGAGGCAAATGATAATAGGAAGGAAGTCAGGGCTGAATCCGGTCAAGAAACTGTTAGTAATGGTTTCCATAGGTCAAAGATAGAAGAGTCTGCAGTTTCCATTGAAAATGGGGAGTCCATAAATGATGCCCAGAAACAAGAAATTACTCAAGCAATAATGCCGAGTAGTTCTTCTGTAAGTGGTAAAAATGGAGAATCACTTGTTATGGAAGACAATGGGGCACATAGTACTACAAGTATTGTTATCAAAGAGAAATATGTCGACGATGATCAAGCTGATGATGCACTTGATTCTCACAGCATACTGATTTTGATGTCTAGCCAGTGCACGGAAAAGCAGGTTATCTGTGAACAAAGCCATTTAACCCGTATAAAATACTATGGGAGTTTTGATGTGTCCTTGGGGCGATATTTGCAAGACATTCTGCAGAATCAGGTGACACTATTTCATAACCTTCTAGTGTTTTGTTCTTACGTGAAATATCTGTGTTTTGTGTTTGTAATACAATTTGACTCGGTTGCTGGAGGCTCAGCTTTTAATGTTTCCCTTGCAGAAACTGAGTTGCTCCTCATGTGGAGAGCCTCCAGAGTCGCACATGTACTCCTACACACACGAAATGGAAATTTGACCGTTCTAGTGAAACGCGTTTGGTGCCCCAACACCATTTACCAGGTGAATCCGAAGGAAAAATATGGATGTGGACTAGGTGCTCAAGATGTGATCATGAACATGGGGTATCCAAACCAACTCCAAGAGTACTAATATCAGCTGAAGCATGCAACCTCTCGTTTGGGAAATTCCTTGAGCTCAGTTTTTCGAGCCACTCTGCAGCAAGAAGGTTATCCATATGTGGACATTTGGTCAACAGGGATTGCTTGCGCTTTTTCGGGTAAACTTCCTGCTAGCCATTAGGGTTTCATATAACAATTCCATGGAAACTACCTTTTTTGCAGTTTGGTGATGAATACTTCCTCATTCTTACTAATTTCAGGTTGGGCTCTAAAGTTGCTATGTTCCGGTACTCATCAGTTGAAATTTACGCTACCTGCAAACCACAACCTACTCTCCAGTTCGTCAACCCCATCAGACAGGATTGGTTTGAAGGACAAAGGAGAAATGTATGGTTCATTCTCTTGACTGTTTTTTTCATTACTTATCTTCAGTTATTGTACAATGGTGCCTGACGCTTATGCTCCATCTTTCAAGATTCATGCTAAAGGTATGTCACTATTCTCTGGGGTTGCAAGATTTCTACAAAACTTGAAGAATGAACATCCTGATGCAATAACATTAGCAATCAATTGTGGCCTCGCACTCCCTGTTAAGGACTTCACTGAACTAGAAGAGTTGTTGATAAAAGAAAAGGCCCAGTTTGAGGTGGGTATATGCATTCTATTTGCCTCGGTGTTTGTTCTGTTTATTATTGTTGATTGAATTTTTATATCTGTGTTGTCCTGCAGAGTTCTGTGGACAAGGCCGCTGATCAAAATGGGATACTCTCATCGTCTGTGCATGAACTATTGAATATAAATTGGTACTATCAGGACCTTCTACTTAAGCTTTACATTTGGGACCACCGTCTACATCAATTATTCTACTGTAAATCTGTCCAACAAGAAAGTGTTGCTAATTACAAGAATCCTGCTGATACTGTTGATGGGATCTATGTCGATAACTCTGGTATTGATAAAAAAATCAGTGAATCTACATATGACAAAACTACAATAGCTTTGGGGGTAGCCAGTACCACGGAGTCTGCAAGTAACAAATTTGATCCTCAATCAGGTGATGCTGCAGCACCCTTGCTTGATGATAGCCAGGAAGCTGGGCACTCGGAACTAACTTGCAATGGAGGTAGTAAAGCTGAAGAATCATCCTTTGCTCATGGTCAAATAAAGGTAGATGGCACAATAGAAAGCACAAATGATCCTTGTTCCGAAATATCCAATGATAATGAGGTCCAGGTCAATGACACAGTAGCAGATCCAATACCCATGGAACAGGAGCCTTGTAGCACTCCCCAACAGTTCAAATATCCTTATTGGGATGAAAGGGAAAGGTGGATTTGGAATTCAATTGCCGAGTCTCAATTGGCTTACAGGAATGACATTCAAATTGGATATTTGGAAAAGTTTGAACTCATTAACAACTATTTGCCACATTATCTTCCTCCCTTGTTTGAACAACATGACGAGGCATGCTCTCCGCAGTTTGCTTGGTAGGTCCAGGTGGTAATATTTTGTGCATAATGGAAGATGAGATATCCAGCATAATAGCTCGTGCTCTTGCCATATCTGATGAACGCCGCCATTTGATAGATTTAAAATTTGAGAATGGAATGGATTATTCCAAGGGAGAGCATGCTAAAGCAATGGAGAAATCTTATAGTTTTCTGTCTGAAAATTCTTTCAGCTCGTCACCATGGTCATCTACAGATTCTGAAGCAAGCTTGTCATCTATGTCTTCATTTTCATCTGATGACTTTTCTGGTTATGATAGCTCATCTTTATTGTCCCCGATGCATCCAGAAATGACTGTGAACGGGAAAGTGACTCTCAGAGGCAAATATTCAGTCACTGTTGTATATGACAATCAATTCTTTGCACTCCGAAAAAAGTGTTGCCCATCCGAGCTTGCATATATTACTTCCTTAAGCCGCTGCAAGAAGTGGAATGCTCAAGGTGGAAAGAGCAAGGCCTATTTTGCAAAGACGACGGATGACAGGTTCATCATAAAGCAAATCAAGAAAACAGAGTTCGAGTCATTTATTAAATTTGCCCCTGATTACTTTAAGCATGTTTACCATTCTCTGGACACTGGAAGCCAAACTTGCCTTGCCAAGATATTAGGAATCTATCAGGTAGTTATATCAAGAGCTCGAGTTTGATTTCGATTCATTTTCCTGCTTTTTTTTTCATGTGGACTCACTTGCCTGTTTCAGGTTAAGCAAATTAGGCATGGCAAAGAGGTAAAGATCGACTTGATGGTGATGGAAAATCTTCTCTTTGGCCACAATATTTCACGAATTTATGACCTCAAAGGTGCTACTTTTTCGCGACGCGTCACTGACTCAAATGATCATGATACTGTTTACCTGGACCAAAATTATGTTGAGGACATGGGTTTTTCTCCAATCTATATTGGTGGAAGAACAAAGCATCTTTTGCAGCGTGCAATCTGGAATGACACAGCTTTCCTCACTGTAAGCATAAAACACATCTTTGCCACAGTTACTGGCAGTTATGTTTTTTCAATGATAACATTTGTGAACATAATTATTGTACTTGCAGTCAGTGAATGTCATGGACTATTCTCTACTTGTGGGAGTGGACAAAGAGAAGCACGAACTTGTGTTTGGCATCATTGATTATCTGAGGCAATATACTTGGGACAAACAACTGGAGACATGGGTGAAGACTTCTCTGGTAGTACCCAAGAATGTTTCACCAACTGTTATTTCCCCCAAGGAATACAAGAAAAGGTTTAGGAAGTTCATGGCGAAGTACTTCCTGTCAGTTCCAGACACGTGGAGTCCTGATAATTCTTCTAAGCAATGCAAATCCCTTGGTCAGAGCAATCACAAGTTGGCGGAAGTCCAGAATGGTGATAACCTGCTTCAGCACCTAAATGAAACTGAGGGGTGTACCTAATCCTGTGCAGGACTTCCTGGCAGTTTTGTTGAAGTCTATCCCATTGTTGTTTCGCTACTTTTCACTTTGTAAAATGGTGTACATAGGAGGACCTCACTGTTAATCTATCCAAAAGTTTGCGGTTTTTAGGCAAATTGTTGGGCAAGTGAGGTCCACATGACATGTACCTATACAAATGTTCATTGTTAATTTCATAAGTATTATAGTGAAATTAAGAATTCATATGATCATTTTTTTGGACGTACCACTTGTGTGACTGAAGCAGTCTATTCACTTATGACTAACTGTCCAAGATAGACATTTCCCACCTCTATTGAAATTAGGTCAATTTGAGTATTATGTTGTACTATGTACCCCCAGTGTACTTGCTGGGATCTGAAAGCGGCGCCGTATAAAAGCCTGCCCTCTGATCTTGTTGCACACAGCACAATACAGATTTTGTGTTTGATGGATACTGTCCAGTTTCGGTATGCCCCCTTTCACTTCTTTTTGGTTCTGCACAATGTACAGCTTTTTCAGATCTGGTATAGAACATATTGCAAGCTACTCTGTATTTTCTTTTATAAACGGAGTTCCATTGTTACTTAGAATGGGTAATTAAGTTTACTTGATCTGTTTCTGGAATTTCACTCAATATGCATTTATGCCCTGAAACCATTTTTTTACGCATTTATTCCTTTTTTTATTTTTCAGATATCTTCCCTGTAGATGAGGTTCTGCATCAGGCAGTACAGGCCTGGTGATGTGCCTACTGATTGCTGTTCTATGTGCTAATTTATTGCTATACAGGTATGCCTGGACCATTGATGAGGTAATTTTTTTGTGACAATTCATGACTGAGTACAAACTTCACTGATCAGTTCAGTACTTAATTATATGCTACTTTCCCATTCTTGAGCCAAAGCACATTATCATCTATAAGTTGGAGCTTGTAATATAATTTTTGCTTGACCAGATAACTGATACCAAGAACTTTTCTTCTGTTGGCTCAGCAGGTTGACTGAATGTTAACCTGACCTTTTTCTAATCAATCAGTATTTTGATTTTTCAGTTCAGTGTGAATTCATGATGAGCAGCTTATATTTTGGTCAAGCGATTCTGATTGCTGCTTTAAGAGGTGATCATTGTGTCTGTTTGAGGAAGAGATTGGATTTGGTGTGCTGATGAAGCTCAGCTTTTCCCACCAGAGGCAGAGCCCTAACCCAAAGTATGGAATATGGATTGCCCTGCTGCTTACCATGATATCGCTTGCTTTTGGCCCTGCAAGGCAGCTCAATCAATTTGGCATTGCAAACTTTGCCGGCAGTGGTTCTCTTCATCCGATTGAGGTCCAGAGGATGATTCTGGCTCAAAAGACGTTCACAAAGTGATCATTCTGTTCCAATTCCAGAAGGCTGTTCCTCATGATTATACAACCAAATGGTGACTGGGGTCAGATATCAAAGAGAAGCATCACAAGAAAAGAATCTCACAAAAGCGGCCACAAAGGTACCATCCCTCCCTTAGGTCGTTTGTTCATCTTCTCTGTTTTGTTAAAACGACAACCATCCCTCCCTTAGGCCGTTTGTTCATCTTCTCTGTTTTATTAAAATGACCGGTCTTTTTTGTACCATTCACCATATTCTTGGGCTGGTGGGAAGCGACGATACGGTTCAATGGATGAAAGCATAAGCCTACCACCAAAAACAAAACGAACAAGCAAAAAAGAATAAGAACAGAAAAGTCTAGTTTCTTCTTCCTTTTTGTCTCCTATATATGTCCAACAAGTTGGCCACACCACCACAGTGCTTTCCCAGTTATAGAAAAGGGCGAAGAGTTGGTTTTCCTTTTTCCGAGGTCTGATTGGTGGCACTTGCGGATTCTCCTTTTCAGCATCAGCTGTGATATTATTACCATATATATATAACTATATACTATAACTAAAAGTACGTCTAAATCTGAAGTATATTATGTTGAAAAGAATGCTAGAGATATGTTCTGGTTCTGATTCTGACAATAGGCAGGCACAATAGGAAGTGGCAGTACCGCCGTTGATTGGGAAGCATACAAAGAGGATGATGATTCTGCTGCTACATGCATGACTTAAAGTATGGACACCCTACTAGAGTGGTTGCTAGCTTGCTAAGCTAGCTAGAGAGTAAACAGCACGTACTGCACTGCACTGCACTGCACTGCACTTAACGAGAGAAGGGGAGAGGAAAACAAATTAAACAAACAAACAAAAAGCACCTTTTCTTGGGTTGCCTAGATTTGTTAGCCTCTTGTTGGAGTATCTACTAGTACTACTAGGGTGGCATAGAATAGAAGAAGTGGAGCTGCCTGCTGAAACCGTTCCTCTGAACAACTCATCTTGTGATTGTGAAGTTTAATTTTGTTCCAGCTGATAATCTAAGGACGGGAGGAGCTAGCTAGCGATGGCAGCAGAGGTCGGAGAGCATCTTCCTGCCCTCGACGATTTCGTCGAAGAAGTCATCGAGCTCAGCGATGACGGCCTCGGCTCCTGATCGCAGCATCCCAACCCAGCCACTGATGATCTCGGCTCTCTGACCGAGGCTGTCGCTGATGTCGTCGCGGTAGCCGCCCATGGCAACGACCCTGTCGAAGTCCTGCTTGAGGCCGTCAATGGCAGCCCTGGCTTGGCGGAACTCGTACATCATGATCCCGCCGCCGATGATGCATCCTTCCATCTCCTGGGCGACGCGCTGTCGCAGGCGGGCGACGGAGGCAACGTAGCCACCACCCGAGGCGCGGAGCTGGTGGTGGGTGACGGAAGAGCAGCCGGCGGTGAGGTCGGGGAGGCAGGTGACGGTGCCGGAGACGAGGAGGACGAGGAGGAAGGAGGTGGCGTTGCGCAGCGCGTAGAGGACGCCGCGGAAGCCGTTGAAGGCGTTGAGCTTGAACTCGAGCGGGGAGCGGTCGTCAAGCAGGAGCGAGGCCGGGTCGAGCCTGGCGTCGGCGAGCGCGCGGTTATCCTGGTGGAGCGCGACGGCGTGGCGCCTGGGCGCGGTGATGGCGCGCTGGAGGTGGCGCACGGCCGCGGCGTGGGAGTGGGAGCCGCCGGAGCCGCTGGAGCCGTAGAGCCAGTCGCGGAGCGCGGGGGCGACGCGTGCAGCGGCGGCGCAGTAGGCGTCGAGCCCCGCGGCTCCCGCGCGGGCGAGCTGGCAGGCGTCCCACAGGCGGGAGGTCTCGTCCATGTACTCGTCCAGCCAGCTCTCCCCCGGCGGCAGGTGGAGGCGCTGCACCAGGTGGAGTAGCTGCGAGTGCAGCGACCGCAGCAGCGCCGCCGCCTGCTGCAGGAAGGCCGCCGATAGGCACGCGTGCGGGCTGCGCTGCAGCGCGTCCAGCCCGTGCGCCATGGAAGAGTAGAACGCGTTCATGCTATTGCTATTGCTGTTCCTGGCTGGTGTGCTCTGCTCTGCTCAATGGTGGTGGCGGTGGCTGTGCATGGACAGATGGACTATGGACAGGAGGACACCGGTGCGGTGTGCGCTGAGCCTGCCTCTGCCTGGACGCTGGGTTTTATAGGCAGGCAGCCGCAGCGCAGGCACACACGAGAGACTCCCTGGGCCAGCAGAGGAGAGGTGTCAGAGCTGGGAGTGAAAGCAACGCAGGGCAGCAGGGGAGGGGAGGGACTATGGTAATGGGTAATGATGGGGTGTCTGTTGCGCAGGGGGAACGATGATTGGATGCTGCTGCTGCTGCTGCTGCTGCTGCACCAGTCTCACTCTCACAGTCTGGCTACTGGCTTGGCTTTCTATTCTTCAATCCATGGCTTCCATGCCAGAGTACTCCGTATGCCAGTTGCCAGATGCCCACTGCTTCTTTCTGCTTGGGTGGTCGCCTCGCCCTGTGAGCCAGCCTCCGTGCTTCCTTGCTCCCAGTCATCCATGCAGGATGAAGGAGCAGAGCAGCCGTCTGGCATCGGAAAACCCAACAGCCTAGTCTACTCTTGGCCTTTAAGGCTGCAACTCTGAATATGCTAGTAGTGCGTACTACTCCTACGGTCATACTCCCTCCGTCCCATTGAGTTTGTCGTTTGAAAACCGTGCCCCCCTCACAATCCCGCTTCCCGAGCGACAAACTCAATGGGACGGAGGGAGTACTAGGAATTGCTCAGACGACCATGCGTATCGAATCAGAGAGGAGATGGGACGACCGTAGCAGTAGCAGACTAGTAGTAGCAGCTGCAATTCACGGCTGGCTGCGCCCTGCATCCCTGCATAGACGTATGGTCTCTGAGCTGTGCTGCCTCTCCTCTGTCTGCCCTTGACCCCCTGCCATGTTGGCGTCACAACTCACAAGGCCGGCCATGTTGGCTTTAGCTGGAGCCCGTACCATGGCCTCCGTCTCCGTACATACACTCCCACCGTCGCAGCTGCAAAATACTCCGATCCTGCGGTACACACATGCGCTTGTCACCGTTCAGCAAGTAGGTGTGCCCATTAAAACTGCATTATTTGTATATACGCGTCTTCGTTTCAGAAATTACTGAGCGTCTAGTCTAGTGTAAAAAGCATCCCCTTCCACGTGAGATTATTTAGATGTCCAGTTCGTCGCTAGTGATGATTAGCAAGAATGTCTGTTTCCAAGACTACCGAGAGGAGGAGAAGGAAGAAAGACAGGGTTTCAAAGGCGGGCAGGGAGTACGAGAGATTTGTCTTTGGGGAGAGAGGCCACAGGCCCGGTCTCTACTCTCTAGGGGGCTGGGTGGAAGAGGAGGAGAGTATATTCAGGGAATCCAAGTCCCCATGGCACAGGGCATAAGGCAAGGGAGGATGATGGATGGCCTGGAAATGGGCATCAGTTTGAGGCGTGGCGTCGACACTTGGTTGGCTGCGTCGCTGCGACCGGAATGATGGGTTTCCTTGTACCCGTACAAATCTCTCTGGCCGCTACAACGCAAACCGCCTTTTGAGGCAGCCAGCAAGCAGGCACAGACAGCCTCTCCTCTCACCCGGGCCAGGGCCGGGGCTCCCCATCATCCCCAAGAACCGTCCACCCAACCAACCCAGCAATCATGCCTCCTCCTAGCTCCTTGTTACAAGCAGTTTCTATGATGGACTGCATATGTTAATAACCCTACTGTCTAGGCGCTCGTGGGGTTTAGGAGAACGAGAGGGTGATTATATGTGTTACTAGGATTGCATTGGTTGGGAAACCGTACCAATGCAAAGAGCTAGCATGTTGTACGTGCTACCTTATGTTATTGTTTGCTTTTGCCTTTGGCCCTCCCAAACCCAACCCATGATAAACAAAGTACTCCCTCTAGTCGCAAATTAAATACATATCTTGGCCATGTTTGGGACGAGGGGATTTTCACTTCAGTCCTACATTTTCTGTTAAATTGAACTGATTTCGATAAAATTTCTTTATAATTCTTGTGAAATAATTAATGCGTTCCAGACAGACCCTAATAAGGCTCTATTATTTGGCACATCTCTAACTTTGAGAGGGGCATCCGTTCTAGAGTATATGTGTTTGAATCAAAGCATATTTAAACTAATAATTCTGTCTTGAGTAGAAAGGAAATAGATCAACCAAACACCTAGGTGTACCCATAGGTCCAGTATTGGATATAGCATCACAGTATAATATTGGGAATTGCCTTAATTAGGACATCAACACGGTCTTCAATGCCACACTTTGACTAATAATATCAATCTATATAAGAAAATAATTCTTTTAGTATAGAGTTATATACTATAAGAATACATCGACACGATCTTCAATAGTGCACTTTGACAAATAATTTCTATAAGAATATGTTGCTTTGAATAGAAAAGGATATATGTTACTCCATGAAAGTATGTTCCATGATAAACAAAGATATAAGCATCGTCATGTTATCGATTTATATAATTCTTTAGCCACTAATCGTCAAAACTATCACCTTATACATATTTTTTAGCCATTAATGGTCAAAACTAAAATAAAAGTTTAGGACAAAGATAAGTGGACTTATGTAACACCCTCGGTGTTACCCCATTAATCATCTACTAAAACATGTCATGAGCATCATACTTATGTGTTAATCCATGTGGTGAAGTGTGTAGATCAATTTCTGTAACTCAAAATGATCAATAAAAATGCTAAACGAAAGTTGGTTCGATGGTTCATGCATATCAAGTAGGGTTTAAAACCAATTTTTATTAAGCAAAAATACTATAGAACATGTGTGTGATACTTAAATAAAGTTGAAGTACAAACTTTGTAGATGACAATGAAATATTTGCTTTTGAAAAATAATATTGCTTTGTAATATTTTCAATAGCCTAGACATCGCAAATGAAAATCAAGTTCAGTTCAAAACTTAGAAAATTTCAAAGTCTATCAACAGCTAGACGCTGCTATGTTTAGCAATTTATTTGGAGAGATTGGGTTAAGGAGTGGTGTAGTGCTATGATTCGATTTAGTAGTTCCATATGCCATCTTGAGTGTAATGAAGCCGGTTTAGGTTTAGGAGCAATGGTTTGGTCGTGATCAGCGCTTTAAAATTCGTGCGCGTACTTGTCTCGGGTTGGTTGGTGCCGGGTGCGCGGTCGCCGCGCGGCCTACCCACGCCGCACACATGGTCGCGTCTCGCGCGGCCACCCTGCGCCGCCACGCTGGGTCGGTCGGGCCGCCTGGGCTTGGCCGAGGCCTGCCGCAGTGAGTCGTTGGCCCCGCGCCCTACTGTCCTGCCCCACACTGCCGCTGCCATCGCGTCCGCCCACTGCTGCCTCGCGTTGCGACGCTGCCGCTACCGTCGTGTCACTCCCGTACTCACGTCTGCTCGCTGCATCGCGCTGCCCCTCCCTAGACCGGTTGGGTGGCGTCCGTACATGGCCGTGCACGCCGTCGTCACGCTATTAATGGCGCTACGGCACGCAGGCCATGGCTGGTCGCGGACGCTCGCGCTCGTTCCCTCGTGCTTGGACGTAGGTCCCTCGGCCACAACCGCTCGCGTCCCGCCAAGGCGAGGACGAACCGAGCCCACCTGTCGCGCCTCGTTTCTCTCTTTCTCCCTCTGCTTTCCGCCGTCGTCGAGTCGCGGTCACGGTGAGCCAGAGAGCGAGCACCTATCATCAATTCCTCGTGCCCGTGTCTCCGTCTTTACGTCCTCTTGCCGACCACCCCCACCCCGCCTTGATTATGGCCAGGCTGAGCTCCAATTTTGGAGCTTTGCTCCCGCCGTTGTGCCATTAAGGCCCAGCCCGCCTTATCGTGGCCAGCTCCAACCTCGCCATCTCACGTCGAATTGACCACACCACTAGCCCCGCCTAGAACCCCTCTTTGTCGTGCGCACGCTAGTCGCAGCTCTAGTGCCGCCTCCTTGCCGCTGACGCGGACAAGCCTTTGCGGTCCGCCGTTCACCTCGTAGCGTGCACGTGGCCAGCCTCGCTCGGGTCGTCTTCGGCCGAGCCGGCACCTCGGTTAGGTCATTGGTGAGTCGTCATTGCTCACCCACTACCCCTACTGCCTTGTTGCCGCGGCTCACTTGAACGTCGTCGCCATTGCCGCAGGGTGCCCGTCGTCGTGGAGAGGTCCTTCTACGACGTCTCGGCTCGTGCAACCGCCGCCCATCGCCTCGTGTCGACCCCTTGGTGAGATTCGGCCTCTTAGCTAGGCTAGCATGGGTCCCGGGTGGCCGGCGCTGTCGCCAGTGCCATCGCTCGCCGCGCCGAAGCGCCCGGGGGAGGCCAGGGACCATGTCGTTGTAAAGAGGAGAGAGTACAAGGGTCTTTTTGCATAGGTGCTGTCTTTAGGAATAGTAATATGGACTGCGGGTTGTTTTATTCATAGTCCAGGGGCGTTTTTGCTAATATGCCAACGCGGGCGGGATTCCCCTGCCGCGGGCTGCCTCGCGCTGCAGGCCGGCCTCGCGTGGGCCGCGCTCGCTCGCACGCGCGCTGCGTCACGTGGGCCGCATGGGAGAATTCATTTTTCTTTGTCATAAGGAATTAGAAATAGTTTTCTGATTTAATTTTAAACTGATCTTTGGTAAATCATATAAAATCATGTAGGTATCAAAAATTGTGCAACAAATTTTGTTAAGTTCCTAAAATTGTGCTCTATCTGTTAGTGCATTTAGTTCATATATATACATGTTGATATCAGGAGTTATTAAATCATTTGAGAGTGCTTAATATTATTAGGTTAAATATTGTAGGATTTTTTGTGGTAAATTGGTGATAGCTTTAATCCTGAAATTTTTATGGTAGTTTTATGTGCTCACTGTATTTTGTAGCCCTAAAATAGACTATTTAATATGGTACCTAAATACCCATTAAGGCTAAAGAAATAATGGCATGGTATTGGTTTATAAAAGTTAAGCACTTGTAGAGTAAGCTTGAAATCTATTTGGTAGAGATAATGATTAGCTTAATATCTTAGTCAT